AGAAATATATATTTATATTTATATAGGTGTGAATGAAATGCACGTAAACATAGTTCTAAGACTAGAAATATATATCTATATCTATATAGGTGTGAATGAAATGCACGTAAACATAGTTCTAAGACTAGAAATATATATTTATATTTATAAAGGTGTGAATGAAATGCACGTAAACATAGTTCTAAGACTAGAAAACTTAAGTAAGAATTACAAAGTTAAGAAGTCAAAGGACAGCCATGTTCCCTACATCTCTTTACTTATTCTCTTGAAATGGCTATCAGGGGAAGGAACACTGTTCAATATAAACAATTTACCTGCTCTGGCTTCTTCGACATCTCGGTTGACTTGGACTGATTATGAGGTTGTAACGACACTTGGTCGGCGTCCACCTGTCCGCCAAAGGTCCGCCTTCTAACCTTTTAGCGCACAGGGCAGAAATGTGCACTTGTTTTAAAAATAATGCAACAATATATAGGCAACTTCAACGTATCATAATCTCATCCGTGAACATTTTATATCATAAAAATTCAACCTACATAGCAGCCTGATATGAAAAAAAATCCAATTTAAGCTTAACGAACAACGATACTTCTATTGTTGGTACCGTCTAGTATTTCGCTAGACATGGACACCAGGTGTTGGGTTTCTTATTTCAAACCCGATGAAGTCAGGGCATGGACTAGTCACTGTGTAATACAGGTCTCTATATTAGACCTTCAAGCAATGGGCAACAATGTTGTTGAAGTAGTTGTGAAAATTACCTTTCACCATCTGCACACCACCATAGGATGTAGGGATTATCGTCGGCGCGGCTGGCTCTTGAAGCCGAAATTTCAAAGGATCAAAACAAGGGCACCGGTCGGGGGGGGGGGGTCGTCTTGGCAGATTATTCTTGTAGAATTTGTTGGAAATACGTTTGATGGACAGCTAGATCACATAACAGATTAGCATTTGATGGTAATTTTGTCTGAAGTTTTGATTCCTAAGACAATGACCGTTGAAATTTCCCATAGGGTTGCATACGTGAAAATTCTGAAACTGTACCGTTACCCTTGCATATTTCTGGATCAAAAATAAGCATCTCCTTAATAATATGGAACATGCTGTATGATGTCACTCGCATAATTTCAGAGGACACAAACGCCTTTTTCAAAGTAATTTCAAAGCGTTTACGTCCTCTGAAATTATACCAGTGCTTGACGTTTACGCAGTGTAAACAATAAGATAGACGACATTGAAGGTAACTTCGGCAGTACATTTCTGGATCAAGTGAATATATCTCTTCAGTACCCTGGAATGTTTGGACAACATAAGTGGCTATATTTGATTTTACGTCGACAAGGAGGTTTGATTTATTTTCAAATTTTTGCGAGTGCTTGATATTCACACAATTTAAACAATATCTAAAAAGACACCGATCCTGTGTATTTTTACCGTCTCTCTTGGCTACTTGCACCAAATTTCTATTGATTATGGGGAATTAAGCGCATATTGAGACATTCATTGGAGGTAAAGTACATGTACGTACATGTAGTAAGTGTAAAACATTACTGTGCCCTGAAAACCTCAAACGACGTATTAATCGTCCATTCACTTACTGTATTTCCACGCCCTTGGCTAGTGGTACTCATAGTGCGCAAAACCAGACTTACCCTTGTTTCCACGGGTTACCAGTTACAGCAGGCAATTTGGCAACGCCAGACTACAAATTTCTTATCAACAAAATGAAGCCTTCTTCTGGAAAATGACAATACGTACAACTGCCAGTACGCCAAAAAGTGTTTACAAGCCCGTACTGACGTCGCTGTGGGTGTTCATGGTTTCAACGTTGATGTAGTAAGGAACACCGATCTTTTGTTCATATATATTGTTCTTATGATTATATTAGTCGCCATAGCGGTGTTATCTTACCACAACCAAAAGAAACCCATTGTATAGACCGGCCTGTTATGGCATCATTGTCAAATTAGATGCCTGCATGGGATACAACTTGATCTCTTTCAAGAACAAAGTCAAAAGCCAGCAATGTAGTATACCTTACACGGCGCAAAAGGTGGGTTATTGAGGGGTGATGAAAGCATGTTCAGGTGGGTGAAAACCCAGAATAAAAGGATATCTCACGCACTTATTACGGAAGGAAGTATCGTTTAAACAAAGCCAAGTTGGATGTTTTTATCAGCCAAAACAAAACAAAATAAACAACAACAACAAAACAACACCGTATAAATCAAGAGGTCGCTTTATGACCTTCAAGGGATCCCTAGACTTTCATCCCCCAAGGACGTGACGTCATCAGCCTGGACAGGCGCATGCGCAGGTGGCCTCAGCGGTCAGACTTATATCTGGGCTATGTGGGCTTGATCTAGCCTCTACCAGGCTTCGGAAGGCGGCTGGAAAGAGAAGAAATCGGCCAAATAGAGAGACAGCATGCTCAGGAGCGCCCCTGGCA